ATTACCTTCCCCAACATCAGATTAAAGAAATCACACGAAAGGGTGTTGCCTTTTCTAAACTGGTGGTATTGCTCTACGTCACTTTACACAGACCGTATCAGTTTCGCGGACATGCCAAATTCACACATCGCGACGTATATGTAGGTGACTAGGTGGTCCATGGTGGACCTACCAAGTTTAAAGACACACTGATAAGGCCCAAAGAGTTCGTTGACAATGGTGTTCGGAGTGCAAGGGGGTATAGTCGTTATTCTGGGTATTCAGTTACAGGCGCACGACTTTACTCAATCCCGACTCTTGCGTCCTCGTTCGCTCACTCTGGGCACCTTGAGCAACCCAAGTGCGAAATGCGGAAACCGATCCGAGTGGAGCCTTGGCTAACGGCAGAAAGAGAGAGAGCTTCGGTGGGGCCACTCCGACTTATCCGGTTTAAGGGCTCACTGAAGTCTGCAGCTCTTGTTCACCAGTAGGTGTGGCTGCAAGCGGTCGTCTGAATTGGAGCAAGCGGCTCGCTATATAAACGTGTTTTCGGAAGCCATTGCACAGTGGTTCAAAATTGGCATTTTGTGTTCACAATTGACTGAAGCCTTCATGTTACACTCAATTTGATAATTTTTTTTAATGAAAACTAATAAAGATTTCAAGAGACCAGCAGTGGAATTCCGACAATCGGTACGATAAATATCTATCGCTAAAATTCTCCAAGTTGATAGCCGTGGTGCCTAAAAGTACGCAACAATGAAAAGTAACAGAAGCAAAGTGTAATCAGCCAAATCTGGCAGTATGGGGGCATGTTTTTAGATGTTGCATGCGCCTACTTTTCTTTTGGAGATTTTTAGCGATCAAAATTAGCGATAGCGAATATGTATTAAATTCTTTAGTGCAAAGTGCAGAAAACGTAGCAATTTTGAAGAAAATCAATTCTCCTGTTCCAGTTAATAAATGTTTCATAATAAAAGCTATGTCCTCGAAAATAATTATAGGGTTCTCCCAAACCGAAAAAAAAAATAAATGATATTAAAAAAATTTCACCAAATCTTTTTCTTTATAATTAAATTTTAGTACAATAAACTACAATTTACAACTGGCTAAGAGTTCGCACTGATTTTTAATAATTGTAAAATGAGCTTTGTCGACATATGCTGTTTAGTTTTTGCCTGAAAGATAGACTTAAGTTGTTTTGTCAAATTTACACAGAATTGTTTTCAACTAGTTCCTGTTATGTAACACTTTGCACTACAAACATTTAGAAATCGGGCTCAACTAGTCTAATGAAAATTTTATTAGTTTTTATTCAAAAAAATAATAATCAAATTGAGTGAATTTCACAAAATACCAATTTTGAACCACTGTGCATCGCCTCTCCAGCAATGGGCTGTGCGCTGGGTCACGTAAAAATCCCTTCCAATGAAAACTGAATGGGATATACAAAAGTTTAAATTGGAATTGTTTAATGTTTTCAATTGTACCCTCAGACATATAATGGAAACTACAAATAAACAAATAAATAAATAAAATACATACATAACAACAACTGGCTCTAAAGCTGCCTTTACACGGGTCGATTTCTGTTGGTTGTAAAATCGACTAGCCAAAGCATTGAAATTTTACGGTTGAATTACCAAAATCGACCCGTAGAAAGGCAGCTTAGCTTAACCCTTTCGCACACAAATTTTTTGAAAACGTTTGCAGAAGGAAACTACCCAGTAGCAAAATGTAATGTAAAGTAATCGAAAAAATAATCAGTAAAACAACCCTTTTCACATTCGAAAATGCATTTGTTTCCCCAGAGCGATGTCCTAGGAAAAGTGGGGCATTCAATTTTGCATTACCTAAAATAAGTAAGTAAGTTTTGGGAATTTTTGAATACATTAGAATGGTGATTACATATTAAACAGTAACTGGATCTAAAACTCATAAGAAATACGTTCGATTATTTTTCACGCATGGAATGCATTACTACTTTTCCCACTGTTTAATGATATTTGTAGCTCTAGACAAGATATAAAATTTCCATAGAACTAGAGAAAATAATGTATAAACAGCTAAAATGGGGCACGAGTAAAATTTTAATGCTCCCGTTGAGACAAAAAAAAATGCTACTACCCAATAAACATTTGGATTGGAGATCAAGTGCAGATCCAATACAAATTCTAAGGTCCAATGCTAATTTTCAAGTGTACCTCAATTGGAGAACCAATCCATTCTCTAACAAAAGGGCACATTATTTATGGAACATAATCTGAGTTCTCCACTTGAGAAAAGCTTGGATGCCAATTTGAATATAAACTTTATTCAACTTTTATTCAATCCTTGGGAAAATTTTGAAGAAAAATGTTTTTATCCTCTTGAGAATCAAGAGATTCTCAAAGATTGGAAAAAAGTTACAAAAATTATTGCTTTTATCTACGACGTGATTTTATAACAAATTTTTTTACGTCGGCATGTCGACAGCCGCCGATTAAGCAACTTGTTTTCTCGGTCAGAAAACCTCGAAATGTATTTCACAAAAGGGCAAATGTATTTCAGAAAAGCTCAAATGTATTTCAGAAAAGGCAAAATTTATTTCAGAAAAAACCAAATGAAATTCAGAAAAACACAATTGTTCTTCAGAAAAAATCAAATGACTTTCAGAAAAACGCAAATATATTTCAGAAAAGGGCAAATGTATTTCAGAATAGCACAAATGTATTTTAGAAAAGCATAACTGTATTCTAAAAATATTTTTCTGAAATACAATTGTGTTTTTCTGAATTTCATTTGGCTTTTTCTGAAATACATTTGGTCTTTTCTGAAATACATTTGAGCTTTTCTGAAATACATTTGCCCTTTTCTGAAATACATTTGATGTTTTCTGAAACTCTGAGATATGTAGTTCGGAAGTAGCGCTTTGTCAGACTGTCTCTAAGGGCTGGTTTCTCCAACTCAACTTAACTTAGTTAAGTCAATTTTCTTGACTAAGGGCCGTTTTCTGAAGTAACCTTTAACTTTAAAGCTCAGTTTATATTTAAAGGTTGGATTAAAAATAAATCTATGTCTAAAGTTAAGCATTTCTATTATCGGTTTTTGACGTATGTATGTTTCTTGGTTGTAAACCAATTTAAAACCGATAATAAAATGGTTTACTTTAGACACAATTGTAAATTGCAATGTAACCATTAAATATAAAGTGAGCTTTAAAGTTACAGGTTACTTGAGAAAACGGCCCTTAGTCAAGAATAAGCTGTGTAAAACGTAGGCTATTTTTTGACTTAAGTCCAAAAAGTGGCTAAACTAAGCTAAGTTGAGTTGGCCATAAGTTTTACTGCAGGGACTTATTCGCACGCACACAGTGACACCAATTGCACGCACACTACAAAAATGCTCTGCCGAGGCTGCCCACCTCTGCTTTAAGGTATCCATAAAAAAGAGCGGACTTTTTTACACAGTACATCTATGGAAGATAAACTCGGCCCCTCAACAAACTTATTAATATGTAGTCAGTATTTTCCTATCCTTAGACACGGATTTGGGAAGCTAAGGTTGCAAAGTTAATTGCAGCTTTTTGATATTACTAACTTTAGTGTCGACTTAATTTTGGCTATAACTACCGGCCTTGTTTCCCAGATCTGTTTTTAAGAATGGAAAAATACTAACCACAACTACGGGCCAAAGTTCGCATGTTCGATGTTTATTACTACGATTAAATTCCCAGAAATACTTGAAAAAAATTTTCCTAGTCTTATCAAAATAATACTAATTAAAACTAATTTTGATCTGCAACATTTAGTTCAGTAAATTGTTATTTCGTGCTACTATGGTTAGAATGTTTTTCGATCAAACTGTTGGATTGGGAAGCTATCTATGAAATAAAAAAATTGCTGAAAAACTGTATTTGTCTGTAAATTCCGCCTTCAAGAAAAATTTCTATTTCCGGCTTGTTTAAATTCTCGCTTAACGACATATAAATGAAAATTTAGAAGTTATAAGTTTTAAGGGTAATTATCTAGTTGGGCTTTCAACGCCCAACATTTTTTGTTAACTTTTGATCGGGTAAAAAAAGTTAATATCCGCTTTCGGATTCTTGTTATTTGAGGGCCAGACGCGTCCAATGGTACCCGCTTTCCAAAATTTTGACCAATTTTGGAGGTTGAAAGCCCTCCTAGATAATTACGTATTGTAACCCTCACTTCCTTCTTTCTGTATTGCCATAAAAAGAAGCCGAAGTATTTCTGCGCAGAACTTCTTTCTGAATAGGCGGCCTCCGGCCGAACTTAGGGATAATAACCCTCACAAAGTAGAATTCTCTTTCTGTGTTGCGAAGAAAAGAAACTGAACACCTTTTGCAGAGACCACCTTTCTGCGTAGGTTAATAACTTTTGATCGGAAAATTTCTTGCTTCTAGTATAAGCAGCCAACTGTTAAAAATTTTATAATAGCTCGTACATAAATAAATAAAACATTCCTTCAACTTACGAATACTTATGGGAAAAGGTATCTAAATTTACACTGAGGACAAAAGCGAAGTATCCCTCAAAATTTAAGGCGAAAATGTATCCAGTTGGATACATATGTATCAAAACGGCAACACTGCTGGCAAGTTCCTGGATACTGCTGGAGAATACGAAAACTTAACTAGAACAAAAAAGTGAAAGAGGAAACGAGAATAAAAACGAGAGGATCTGAGAAAACGTCAAAAATAACGACGCGTCGATTTGGGGATAGCGCGCGCTGACACTCGTCGACAATGGATAACGCAACGCTTAGCGCTCCAATTTAGGGACGGCAGTAGGGCTGTTAGTTTTCGTTGTTTTCTTTGCTTTGTTTACTTTTCTTTCTTCTTCCCATGAAACAAGATGGCGCAGAACTCGCTTCAAAAATCGACTTTTTTCAATCTCTTGTTTTTGCGTGCCCTTGTATCGTTCGTTCATGGATACGTTTCCCGTTTGCGATCACACCTAAAAATTGTAATAGATTATGCAGTAGTGCCAATTTACAATGCCTTCTGAACGTAGCAACCCTGCATGTCATTAAAACGCCATTTTGTATTTCATATCCGTCATATTTTAATTGAGGGAAGGATTTTATCTTAAACTTTAAAAGAATAATGCCAGATACTGGAAAAAAATTGAGTGAACTGCGTGTTTATGATTTGAAAGAAGAGCTTGAAAAAAGAAAGTTAGAAACTTCTGGCGCTAAGGCAACTTTAGTGGAGCGGCTTGAACAGGTACTTATTAATTTATTACCTAACGCATGTAAAACATGCAGGGTGATGGAAATATTCGATACACATGCTGTAGATATAAATATGAATTTGCA